GCATTACCCTAGATAAGAATACATCTTTGTACCATCAAAAATCACTCATGGTTGGACATGTGAGATTAGTGAGTTGATTATGTATTCTGGCAGTAATATTACTAGGGGTTCCTATAAAATGCTCGACTATAGTATAAACGAGGGTATTGACTCCATCATGAATACCACGACCTATTGTTTCATGGAAAATAAGGAGACCATTATTGTCTTTTTGGACTGCATTTTTAATTTTTTCACGGGATTCTTCAGTGAGATATTTTTCCCACCAGGATTTTAACATTCCTGTGAATCCGGAAGTAAGCAAATCAATGATATCCGATTGACTAAGGTCATGAGAAGCGACATAATTATTAGCCACCATAGATATATGATTTAACTTATTTAGAATTTCTTGTTCAGATAAACCGTCTACGTTCCATTCTTAGAGTTTACAAGAAGAAACAGAAAATTGATTTTGAATATTTCTTTCTTCATATTAAAGATCTGGAGGTGTTGGCCTAGGGTACCAATTTTTGGTCAGGCTAGTAGGGTTGACTCTTTTGTTAGAAATACGATTGAGTTTTGAATTTGAGAAAGCATTTTCAATGGCTTGAATTTCAGAGGCGTAGGTAGAATCTGAAGAGGATGACTGTTCTAAATCAGTGTTGGTATGGATAACAGTGACTATTTTTTCATCTTTGACTTTGGACTTACCTTTCTCAAGTGTCTTGAGAATAGTTTCGATTTGGAGAACAACATAAGAGTCGGGCATAGTTGTCGGAAGGCCTTTTCGTTAAGTAGGCATTGCTATTAATGGTTTTTCAATGATAGGAGTAGAAGTTGGTCTGGGAATAACTGGTTGAGTAAGTGTGACTTCTATTTTATCTAATTGTGTGCCAATAGTATGTAGATATTGATTAGTGAAATTATTTTGTTCAATTACTTTGCGAATATCTGGGTCAGAATTGGTACTGACTTTAAGAGAAGATGCAGTGACTTCTGTTCCCATGTGGTCTAGAATAACAGATTCAAGGGGAGGGTGAGAAGAGGAAATAGTTGTTTTATCTGGCTTATTCTAATTAATCTTGGTTAATACATTAACCTTCTTATAGTAATTTTCAAGGTAGTCAAAGAAATTAATCTCTATCCGATGGTCATTCATGAATTTTTTCCATTTATGGAGTATTTTATCTTGTTCTTTATCAGTGTATTGTTTATAATAAGCTCTTCTTTTTTCTTTGTTGGTTTTTGATTTGAACTCTGTGTGTAAGTTGGTAAGGTTGTAAGAAAAGAGTTTACTAATAGTTGTCAATTGTGGGTTAATGTTTCCCTCAAAATCTGTGGGGGTGGGAGAACGTGGAGGAGATTCAGGTGGTTCCTTATTATCTTGAGTATAACAAGGACAATTAACCTGTTCCTCTATTTTTAGACCTTTGAGTTTGATATCTTTTATCTTTGGTTCAAAATTAGAGTTTTTACTATGGAGAGGAGGAATTTCAGCTTCTTTTCCTAATAGACTACTATCAGATCTATTGTAGGAAGTAGAAGGTCTAGATCTAGTCAGAAGACGCTGTTCATCAAAGCTTATTCTAACCGTACCATCTAGATATTCCTGTACTCTCTTAAGATTACTAATATCATTGTCAATATTTGCAGGGTGATTCTCATTTTGAAGAATCCATTCGTTAGGTAATGAAATTTCTTTCCAGGCAATTGTTTTCTTTATTTGTATGTTGGCATTGGGTGTACTACTCTGGATTAACAAAGTATGACCTTTCATATCCTTTTGAACTACTTTAACATTGAGATTTGTTTTTATGGTTTTATTATAGATTCTGTAAATTAAACCTAATGGTTAAGATCCAGAAAGCATAGGGTAACCTAATGTCTTAATATTGAGAGTAAGAGCTTTTAATAGGTGGGGATCACTGACACTAAGGGTAAAATCTGGGTAACAATTAAAATGAACTGAATCATTACAAAGACTTGTTTCTACTACTCTTAAGAGGTTGAGGTCATAATCAATGAACCTAACATCTCTAAGGGCTAATAAAACAGAGGCATTAATTCTTTTGGTTGTGAATGGTTTAACTGCGACCTGCACAAGACCTATATGGATGAAATTATATCCTCGGTCTCTATGTCTTTGGATGGCTTTAGCTGTGAGCAACTGGCATTTCTCATGTTCTTTGGACAAAGAATATATTTGTTCTACTGTTTTTACTGTATAATTAGAAATGAAAGTTGACTTGAGAAAACTAGTTTCATAAACTTCTCTAGTTGAGACCGTTGGGATATTCCAATCTCTAAAGTCAAGGTTACTATCTTCTATTCGGTATTCTTCTTCATTAACTATGTCTGGAATTGGAGGGGGAATAGAAGTCGAACCGGATCGAGAACTCACCGATGAGGTGGATCTAAATAACCTATTCATGATTACTAGGCTATTCTTGCTGAGTAACTTGACTAAAATAGACTATTTTCATGACTCTGTTAAGCTGTTATCTATATATTTAATATATATATATATATATATATGCAACAATTCCAAAAACAATACCTATAAAAATTCTCAATTGGGTAAATCACAATGTCTCCAAATTAAAATTAAACAATCAATCTCTGATAATTAAAAATCATGAAATAAATATAAATTCAATTCTTAAATATCCGAGTTGTCACATATTTACATCCCAAAATATGCTTTTACAAAAGAATGGCTCTAAGATACAAAAGATAACAAAAATGATCTTCTAGCAACCCTCAAACTTGCGGTGGATTGTCATATGCCACTTCTTTCCCATGATCTGAAAAATGTTAAATATAAATGGGTGAGCAAATTGCTTAGTCAGGTGGTGCCTAAGACACACATCTTGTAACCCCGTGAATCCAAATAATGAATAGGGGTGGGAATAGGGGTCATACTATGCCGGGAAGGAATACAACATCAATTCCAAATTCAAAGTAAAGAATGCTGTGCCATGAAATGCAATGCCAAGTATGTCGCTCTCCATTTTCAAAATCCAAATCCATCATTTTTTAAACTGTTAATATAACCCGTCCTTTAGTGACCCCGCAGCGACACGAGAGAAGGATTGGCTACTGTCCCTGACCTTTGGTACCCCCGCGGCGTTATTTGGGGCCAGCTAGCTCAACCACGCTAGAGTAATTTCTCTAATTCCCTCTAAGCTATATTAACACCACGGCCCTTTGATGACTCCGCGATGACCGGGTTTTCATAAAAATACTTTAATCAAAGCTTCTTCCCAAAATTCCCCCTTTTCATTTCAAACAAATCATTCCCATTTTCCTCCCAATGCTCATGCATGGGTGTGTTATGCCATACATATGTATTAATCATTCTTGAACAATTTCAACTTAAACTGCACAAGAAAATTTCACATGCTCTCACATAACATTTCTAACAAGTTAACAACCTAATGAGCATAGAAAATTAACACTTAAACATGTTTTCTATCCAAAGAAAGTAATACACATAATTACATACTTCATATACACATTTAAGCCATTTTAAAACAAATTAACACAATCTAGCGTATCAAATAACAAGTAACAAGAATATAACTCACATAAGCACAAGAATGCATGGATTAGAAACCCCTACCTCAAGGAGGATGAAAAACTCTCAAAATGGGTCTCAAAACTGGAATCCTTAGAGTGCACTAAAACTGAAATTGCTTATATGGAAGTGAAGATCTCACCATGCTCTTCGAATTGCCGCAAACGGCTTCTAAAAATTCCAAGTAATAAAGGAGAAATCAAGACTTGAATTTTGTTTGAGAAAATAAAAAAAAAATTGCAAAGAAAAGGGTGAGAGAGAGCTAGCCGGGGAGAGAGAGAGAGTGAGAGACCAAGTGTGGTCTCTAGGCAACCAAGTATGTGAGTGGTGGGTCCCACCTCCAACATTTTCAAACATTGACTTTTCCACATGCAACAATTATACACATACCATATAAAACACATGATGCACATAAAATAAAATATATGATATGCAAATGGACCCGACTAAAATTCCTGTACTTGACAACAATATCGGTAGCCGGTCCCACATGAGTACGTCCGGTTCAAAAAATGAAAAAATACAAAAATGACCAACCTTGCATTTCCAAGAGCCCTGAATTCAATGGAATGCTCCAAACAACTCACCGACACACCCGGCACACCTCACGGTGTCCGGTACGCAAAATGTGAAAAGACGAAAATGACTTTGCATCAACAAAATTCTCGAAAAAATAAAAGATGGCGAAAAATAAAAACATTGCAGTGTTAGAAGAGTTGTTGAAGGCAGCAAAATCCACTATCTAAATATATAGTCACGTGTATGGTGAAATTTAGTTGGATCGGATAGTTGGATGTTTAATTTGAATGAAAAAAATGCATGATTTTTCTTTGAAGTTAAATTAGCCACCTTGATCTCTCTCTCAAGCTGATCCATTAGCCCCCCAAGTCAATTCGCCTTCATTCTACCACATCCCCTTTTTTTTTTTTTTTTTTTATCTTTTTTCTTTTCTGCTTGCTGGTTGAAGTGTAACAGACAATGATATATATATATATATATATATATATATATATATTGTCATAAACAATTGAGGCCACATTAAACTAATCTTAATTGTCTGTCCAAAATGTTCTCAAAATATTGAATTCCTAATAGCAATCTAAGAGGATGAGCTGTCTCCCTACGTGGAATAGTTCTTGACTAGCTTGTAAGTGGTAACTTTGTTTATTCAGGGCGGGTGAAAAACTTAGTTTATTCAGGGCAAGTTTATTCAGGGCAGGTGAAAAAACAAATATTATATTGAATTTTATTAACGAAGTTATCGTGGTATAACAAATGAGATTGCAGTTCCAAATGTCTAAAACCAATTTTTTCTAATAAAATTTAAAGTTGACCGTTAGCTTCTATAGTCTATTATTAGAAATAAAGAAATTCACAATGCAATAATTGAAACGACAAATTTGTAGGATTATTTTAAGCTCACACCTGACAAATTACTAATATTTTAGGAATATTTTCAATTCCTAAAACAAGTATAAGAGAATGGCCTGCTTCCCTACATGAAATCTAACTCCCTAATACTGTAATTTATATCCTTCACTTGATAATGGAATCCCCCAACCCTTTCGAGAGTTGTCATCTCTCAGAAACCAGTACTGGTATCAATGAAAAAGCTCAGCAAATGTACACAGAGATCATCCCTTCCCTTCCTGAAGATCATGACTGGTCTCACCTCGATCCTTTTCGTTTCTACCAGTATCAAAGTTTTTGGTACCCTGGTTACTTCTTGAAAGGAGTCATAGTAGCCCAAAAACACTTCAAAGCTCAACCTGCTGACATTATTGTAGCCAGCACTCCAAAATCTGGCACCACATGGCTTAAGGCCTTGACTTATGCCATTGTCACTAGATCTCAATATGGTTCTCAGGAGGTGAACCCTTTACTCGTCACCTTGCCCCATGATTGTGTTCCATTTTTGGAGCTAGACATTCTCCAAAACCCAACTGATCATCACGATGATCCAAAACTTCCCCTCCGGGCTACACATATTCCCTACACTAGTTTACCCGCGTCCATCACAAGTGCAGGCTGCAAAATTGTTTACATATATAGGGATCCTAAGGATGTATTCGTTTCTTTCTGGTGCTTCTTAGCCGAGGGGAAGGACACGGAGATTTCTCTTGAAGAAACGTTTGACCAGTTTTGTAAAGGAGTGTCTGGCTTTGGCCCTTATTGGGACCATGTTCTGGGATACTGGAAAGCAAGTTTGGAAATGCCTGAGAGGGTACTATTCTTGAAATATGAAGAAATGAAGAAAGAGACCTTATTTCATGTCAAACAATTGGCCCAGTTCATGGGGTATCCTTTCTCCTCAGAGGAAGAGAGTCAAGGTGCGGTAAAGAAAATCATAGACTTGTGTAGCTTCGAAAATTTGAGTAATTTGGAGGTGAATAAGACTGGGAAGCACAATGAACACACCCCGTTCGCTATTGAAAACAAAGCATTCTTCAGGAAAGGAAAGGTTGGGGATTGGAAGAATCATCTGACTGCTGAGATGATACATCGCATTGATCAGATCACGGCACAAAAGTTACATGGTACTGGATTGACATATATCGCTCATCAGTCTTGAGTCCTTGGAGGACTAGCTTACGAGCTAGCATAAGAAGACTCGGACTGCGCCTCAACTCCAAACACCAAGTCAGCCTTGTGTCTTGTCCCATAATTTATAGGCACATATATATATATATATATATATATGTCAATATTTAGATCTGTGTGTTTGTGTTCTTTATACATGATTGCTTGTGTGATTTCCTTATCCAATGCAGTGCAATAGCCCATTGCTACGTTGGTGAATAAGAATTCTGAGTGCATTTTCAGTTAATGCATTTTGAATTAATGCTTGATCAAATAGATTGGGATAGCACTCTGTTTGCTCCCTTCTCTTTGTATTTTTCTTTGTGAGATATCCCCTACTGTACGTGGTTGTAAGCTGCTAGGCAGCCTTATTGTAACTACCTTTTTCCTGTCAAAATTTGTATACTTCAAAATTCTTTTGTTATTTTTTATTTTTATTTTATTTATTTATTTATTTATTTTTTTCCTTTGGGATAATTACACTTACCTCCCCTGAAGTTTGGCATAATTACAGGTGGTACCCCATACGTTTCAAAAATTACACCGTCCTCCCTCAAGGTTAAGTCCGACGTAACAATTTCCCCCGTCCAATGCCGGTCAATGCATTTTTTGTTGGCATAATTCAATTTTGAACATAAAATACCATTTTTGCCCTTACTAAAATTACAAATATATTTTTATTCTTACCTTTGAATTCATAATTACCTATATATCCTCACAATCACTTTTTTTATTTTTATTTTTATTTTTATTTTTTTCCAGAATTACAACTTTTCATACAATGTATACATTACTCCCTCTCTCTCTATATATCTATCTATTTTCCTCTGCAATCTATATATAGACAAATATATAAATACCATATATATATGTGTGTGTGTGTGTGTGTGTGCAGCAAGTCACCAGCCATCTGTTGATTTGCGGTCTGTTAGGGTGTGTTTGGTAGGGTTGATTTGGAGGGATAGGGAGAGAAAAGAAAAGAGGTGATAGTGTGAAAGTGTGTTTGGGTAGTTTAAGTAGAGAGCAAAGAGAGGATAGGGAGAGATAGGGAGGGATAGCTATCCCTCCCTATCCCTTATATACTTTCTCTCCTAAATTGAGAAGATAGGGAGAGATAGGGAGGGATAGTAAGTTGTACATTTTTAATATCCAAAATACCCTTCACAAATCCACATACAAAAATGTAATTCCATTTATATCCCAATTATGTAATTCCATTTATGTCCCAATTGTAGAATAGTCTTGATCTCTGTGAAGCATTTTGTACACACTAATTTGTTAACTTGAGCTATGCATTCAAGTCAATTCAAAGCTCTTATTTATTTTGTTTTTTGTTGTTTGTGGACAGGCCTCATAAAAAAAAAAAAAAAAAAAAAAAACTGATTATCACTTCACCGTAGGAATGTAAAATTTGGATAGAGACATTTAACCCATGCAGATGCGTAAGACATTTAACTCTACTTTCAATTTAAAAATAAAAAAGAAAAAAGAAAAAGGTGTAAGGTGATGACTATTATAAAGGGTAAGACAATAATTTGGTCACTATTCTTTCTTTTCTTTTCTCTCCTCTATCTTATCCAAACAAGAATAATTATCTTTTTTTTTTTTTTTTTTTTTTTTTTTTTTTCATTCCTTTATCTTATCCAAACAAAAATAATTATCTTTTCTTTTCTTTTCTCCCCTATCTATCCAAACATGAATAGAAATTATTACTATCATTTCTTTTCTCTCCTAACTAATATTATCATTTCTTTTCTTTTCTTCCCTATTTATCCAAACACACCCTTACGGCTGCTTCTTTTTCCTCCATGCCTTCTTGGTTGAGTTCTTACTGATCTAATCTCTGACCCACTTCTTTTTTAGTCGGCAACAAGAAATTGCAGATCTTGTATTCGCCGATCGACAAGAACTCAGCGACGGCAACGAAGATGATGGTTGTCGTGGAGGTCCTCATCGCCGCATCAACAACCATCATGGATGGTACTCCATCCTTTAGGTCGACCGCCGCTTCGACGAGGTCGATCTCACCAATAGGCAGTACCGCCTGCTCGCACTTATCCTCCACCTTTACAAGAACAAGTTCGCCTTCGCCAACTCCGCCTTCAAGCTCGTTGCCGACTCATGGGTTGTCCTCTTCGATCCGGCGATAAAATTACTTTATGAACTAGAAAGAGAGAGAGTGGGGGCTCAGATTTTGGATCCAGACCATTCCTAATGCCGGAAGACTTGCAAGCCTCCGTTACCTGCCGGAGATGTCGCTGCTTTGTTCCATGGCATCATCGGAGGTAAGTAATTGTGTTATGGCGGTGGTGGTGGCTATGGCCATCGTGGTAGCAGTGAAGATGGTGGTTTTGTTGTGGCGGCGGTGCAGATGTTGGCTTTGTTGTGGCGGCGGTGAAGACGCTATGTTTTGCAAATCTAGGGCTCAAGAAGGTCAAACTTCAGAGAGAGAGAGAGAAAAAAAAGAAAAGAAATCTCAATTTTAGGGAAAAAAATTTATTAGGGTAAAAGAGTAATTTGATAATTAATTATTATTATTAAGGGTATATTAGTATCTTGACAAAAAATTCTAACATAACTCACCGGCGATGACATTGAAGGGAGGTCAGTGTAATTTTTGAAACGTAAGGGGTACAGCCTGTAATTACGTCTAACCTCAAAGGAGGTAAGTGTAATTATCCCTTTTTCTTTTAATTTGTTAGTTTGAGTTTGATTTGAATTTTTCTTAATTTACGTTTCTTTCCTAAATATTCATCAATGCCAGAGTCATCGGGTCAATTTAAAATTTGATAACAATGCTCAAAACTCTCATCACATAAAGCCAGAGTGAAAATGAGAACGAATTCGAAACCTCATTACTTTGTTGGTGAATAAGAATTCTCAATGCATTTTCAATTAATGCATTCTGAATTAATGTTTGTGTTCTTTTTATATTTGATCAATGCCTGAGTCATAGCCACATCTGGCCCGAGTTACCTGGGAAGGATTTTGTAACAGTGCTATTGTGCTTTATCTTTGATCGAGTCCATTTCTTAAAGTTTATTTTCATCTGCCAATATGATCATATGTATTTAAATTTTGAAGTATTTCAAATATAACAAAAAAAAAAAAAAATTGATCATATTTGTATTTTCATCAAGAAGCTAATCAGGAAAGCTAGCCCTATACAGGTTCTGCATTCTCAGATCGTTAGTCCTGTAGAAAAACCATAAAATATGGCAATAAAGGAGCTAAATTGCAATATGACAGTTCCTAATTATAGAGGATGTGTGAACCTCTCTCGCTCTCTCTCTCACTCTCTGTGTGTGTGTGTGTGTATATATATATAGGCCTGTTCAACTATTCTTGGAAATCAAGTCTGATAAATTTGTGCATCCAATTTAGTGATGATATAAATAGATATATCTTGATTGTGTGTTCTCGTGTTAATGAATTGATTATAGAAGATTTAATTGTAGGAACTCGTATTCTCTCTAAATACATCGAATAATTGTTACCAATGAAATTTATTTAATTGATACACCGAACCTCTTCAGTAAAAGAAAGGATTTTAATTTCAGTTCCACACGATCGATACTTAGTGCCAAGAATTCAGGACGGATCTGTGAGGGCTCAGTTGGAGCATTTGCCCCCACTGAAATTTTTATTACTGTATTTTACACTACTGAATTTATACTTTCTTGCATTTATATTCATAAAATTTTGAAATTACCCCACAGAAATTATGAAAAACTCCTCTATATAAATTTGCCTCCGCATATGAATTTCTAGATTCGTCCCTAATTAGAACCTTTAGACTTGTTAGACCTACCTATTCCAGCCTTAAGATTTCATAGGTTTGTGTTATACAACTAGGCTGATAATAATGTTTTTTTTTTTCTAATTTTTAATCCTGACAAATTAGGGAGAAGGAGACACAAGCACACCCGCTAGGAAGATGTACACTCTACCAACGTAAAGTTATTCAAATAAAGTTGCCAAGCTGGAAGCCACTAGCTGGGTCTGAGGCTACCAGAAATTGGCCAGGTCTGGTCCTGACCAACCAGGCACTTGTGGTTCTTACCATGTCAATCTTCACTTCACAGATTCAAATAAAATGAGAAAGCTTTGAACGTTTACAAAGAAACAGTTTCGCCTGTAAAAGAGAAATAAGGGTGTAAACAGAAACTATTAAACAACTTTTAATTCATAAAGTTAAAGTTAAAGTTAATAATTGTTATGTTTAGTTAATAAATAATGAATTTCGTCCATCTGGTGCTATTGTAGTGCATGTACTATAATTTTACTTTAGACCAAGAAGAACGCATTTTTGACACCCAACGATGAAATTTGGCCAACAAAAAAAAAAAAAAATACAAAGAAAAAAACAGACCAGTATAGCTCATGAAAATTGTGTCGGTCTTTATTAATGACTTGTTTTGGGTCAAAATTGTGACGAAAAAAATGTACTGTGTAGTTTGACTTTTTGATTGTGTCTCCATGATCATCCAAAACCTGTTCTACATATATTTATAAAAAAATGATAGAACATTTGAAAAATATTTTCGAAATAATTATCGGATCGTGGTGAATTGAGCACGTCAGACTTTTAAGAAAAATAAAATTTTATCTTTGAACACTCCATCTTTTAGATGTAAATTAAGACTCCATCTTTCAGAAAAACTTCTAAATAATTTGAAAATTTTGTGAGTCTACTACTTTCACTTTCTCTAAACTTTGTAGGCTTGTGATTCTATCTGATAGATCTTAAAGATTTATACAAAATATTATCAAAACTATATAATAAAATAAAAAAAAACCCCAACTTCTTCGATTCTACCATCACCATGTCGGTTTCATGTTTTGCCCTAATTCTTGCTTTCAAAATTTGTAAAAGAGAGTACCGATTGAATAGCTATTGGAAAAGAAAACTCGTTACAAAGTCTAGATGGAGTGTGAATCCCGGATTGATGTTGTTGTGAGAACACATTCTTATTTAACTTTTTTAATTTGTGAGAACTTATATATATATATGTCAGATTTGTGTATTTAACCACAATATCTTCACACTATTACCTTTCTTTATCCACTATTACTGAACAAGCTTTTATTTTTTTTATTTTTTCCTTTAGTTTACACGAAAAATTATAGAGGTTTATTTTCTAAATTTTACCTTTTAAATAGTTTGACGTGGTCTCAATAACTATTTTAAGAATAAGATTAGGTTGTTCTCCCATTACTCTTTTTTATAACTAGGAAATGTTATTGATGTTGATGTTGATGCTGATGCTGTGTAATTTGGGAAGAAAAAAAGGTTCCAGCATACCAAATTTACATGATTTAAAAGAAGGAAATAGTCAACATTGCCATCATCATCTATTTTCAAAATAACAGAATCAGGAAGGGCACCATCACCAATATTTCACACGTTTTTCTCGTATTGTTTGTAACTCTTACATAATGGAAAGGAAAATTCAGTTTTTTACTATTCCAAAAAAAAAAAAAAATTAACTAAATCATCAAAAGTAAGAAAATAATTTCTCGAGCTAGTTATGAGATAAGAGAAATTTTCTCAATAATAATAATTCACAGTCAAAGTAACTCTTTATTGTTTTTCCAAAATTGATAAATTCTATTAATTGCTATGAGAAAGAGAGGATTCAACAAATCAGTGGATAAGATTTTTCAACTACAATGTGAAAATAGGAACGGAGTAAGTCATTTTACACATGCTATCTCGGGTCATCTAACCATACTCCTATATCCATCTAACAAATAATCTTTTTTCATGCTACAGTTTTAATTATTCAACACTTATAGTTTTCATCTTTCCTTCTTAAGAGCTTCCCATATGCAACAGTGCTATTGTGCTTTATCTTTGATCGAGTCCATTTCACAGCTTTTTTCC